CCTACAGTGGACCAGACCCTCCTGCATCAGTGAGTAATCAAGCCAATACAACATACTCACAAAAAACCAATCTGATCTAAGCAATTTCTCACCTGAAGCTTCTCTCATAAGACTGTGTCAGGCTAACAAGAACACTGGAGATTTACTGAATCTGGGAAAGACAACTGGATAAGAAATGAGAAAGAAACAATATTCCTTCTGGCCTAGTTGGTGGGACCAATGGTTAAGTGATTACATGAGTCAATTTATGGAAAGATGCTCTGATGAACTACAATAAACTGTTGCAGGGGTGGGGTTATCTGAAGTCATATGAAGAACATAACATTATCTGGATATATAATTTATCTTAAGAATAACTCAGACTGACCTCGACAAAACAAAGATTTTACACAGCCAAGGTCAAGACCTATGCCAGGACTGGCAAGTCAACTTTCTTCAAAAGCCAAAACCAAGAGAGTTGAAATACATGCTGACCTGTGCTTATACTTTTTAAAGCAATGTTAAAGTGTCTCCCAAATAGACCAATAAAGCAACAGAAGTTATCAAAGCCCTGCTGAGAGAGGTTATCCATCATTTTGGACGGTTTAGGAGCATGCATAATAATTACAACTGTCCTACCTTTGTTTTTGAGATAACAAAAAGGCAAATAAACATGAACCAAATGGAGATGATTTATATCCTGGTGGCCCCAAACTTCAGATAAAGTAGAAAGGATGAGTCATGTCTTAGAAAGGACAATCTTGAATTGTGCTATGATGCAGCTGCACTGGGACCAAGTCCTACCTCTTGCTCTAAGAGAGTAAGAGTAGCTTCCTTCCCTAAGTTTCCCTTGACTTGAGCCTTCATGGCATTGCTTATGAGTGGCCATGCCAGACCATGCTTAAATGGGTGACTAGGCAAGATACTGGGAATGGGAAATCAAGAATCATGTTTTTAATCTAGAATGGATTTATGTGTTAGAGATTCTGCCCTTGGTGACAAGGTTCTGTTGAAAACACAGGCTCTCTGGAATATTGAATGAGATGTGGACTTGGTGACACTGATAGCCATGGAACTTGCTGGAGTTAAGCCTCCAATCTACAACACAAGGTGAAGAAGCCATCAAAGACCAACAGACATCCAAAAGAACAGGAGATCTGAAATGGACTCTAAGAGAGTAATACCATTTGCATTCTCACTATTGGCTAGCCTTTCCATAATCTGGGGACAGCAGAGATGAAAGCACATGAGTATACTTGACAAAAATATCTTTTGAGAAGACAGATTCTTCATGCTTCATGGGTGTTTACATACCAGAATCTATCAAATTATAATTAGAAATATTAAAACCTGTTCTAATAATTGTACCTATGGACCTATCATGACTGTTTTCCTGAGATTAGCATGTCTCTCTTGTTAAAATGTGTATTGACTTCATAGATTATTAGAAATCTGGCAGAGGGGAAAGACTGTGATGTGTAATAACACCTTCACCAGACATACACAATGAACCAAGGTACTAGAGGAGTGACTCCTGCTAGCCTGTAAAAATGGCCTACTATTCTGTGCCCATGAAGAGCACCAGGAGTTAGGAATACTCATGGGCTAGCTGTCCCAGAAGGCCTGCCAGACTTAGAGGTATGATGGTTGACACCTCTTGTCAATTTGACAGGATCTAGACTCCCATGGGAGAAAAGCCTATGGACATATTTGTACGGAATTATCTAGAGGAGCTTAACTGAGGTGGGAAGACCCACCCAAGAATGGGCATTTCCCTGGACAGAAATCCTGAACTGCATACGTGGAGAAAAGGGAGCTGAGCTTGCGTCCATCTCTCTCTGTTCCCATCTACACATGACTCAGTGCCTTAAGCTTCTCCATCATGATTGACTGGAACCCTGGAACTGTGGGGCAAAACAAACCCTTCTTTTTAAGTTGTTTTTGTCAGAATATTTTATCACAGCAGCAGCAAAGGTAACTAACTCAATAGGCAAAAGATTGCTATTTCCCACACACTGACTTTTGAGCATAAAGCACACTGATAGGTCACTCATTCTTGATGATGTGTAGCTCTATAAACAATCTGTGAAGCCACTTCAGGACTCTTACAGAGAAGTTGAGCATCTGGCTGGATCTATGGTAAAAGCCTATTGTGGCTATTGGACAGAAATCAGGTCAAGTTAAGGAAGCAGCCTTAGAAAATGGACTACAGTAGATCATTTAGTACTGGAGATAACCATAAAGAATATTAAAGGATGCTGTTTTAATCTGATAGGCAAGGCTTAGTTGGTTGAACAAAAAGCTAAAGCAGTTGATGACACTGTCTTTGACATAAAGAATAGAGGAGGATTCTTAGTGTTAACATCTTGTGCCTTTGGCTTCTGAGCCTTCTTGGTTCCAGGGCAGCGTTCCTGCTTTTCCCATTGCTCATATTCCTCTGCATATCTGCCTGCTGTTGTAAATGTGCTATGACTTATACAGCCTCCCTTGCTGGTAAGATGCTGAACTAACAACGATATTCCCAGCTGCAGATGCCATGAGTTATTAAAACAGTAGGAAAGAATAGGAGGCAGATAGGGAAACTTCATAATTGGCAGTATGAGAGCACATTTGTACTTCATATCATCTGTTTGCCCTGAGTTAACCTTTAACGTAGAGATAGTCTGGATGGTGACTCAGGAAAAATGCAGGCCTGGGAGCTTTGGGTGTACAGGAGCGCCTCACTACACAGAGAGAGCTGATAATCATGGGAATGTGCAGGGAGCGATAAGAAGAGAAGTACAGACATCATGCATCTCTTGGACTAGGCAGGCTTTCCAATCCGAAGTTCAAGACAAAACTTTGAAATGATTAATTGACTCTGTACCAGCTCCCTAGACAACACACTAGTGGGAGCTAGCCTGAGGCAGATTTCCTGTGGTTTCCGAGATTGCTTGCTCTCTACATAAAACGAGCTTTCAAGATTCTGCTTTTTGATTGCTATACTGACAGTCACACAGTCCCTGGTATTCTGGTGAGATTTTTCAATAGCCATTCATTGCCCATGTCTGTGTATGACCAAACATCCTTGTGACTCTCAGGTAAATCTTTTCCAAATGTGCTAACTTAGTCAATCATGAGATTCCACCATCCCCAAAGGAAAGAAAGTCATCAGAAAACATGTGAAACCTCTAGCTGAGAGTTCACCACTTGGCTGTAACGTCAATGTTCCCACCAATGCGGTTGGAAAACACCTTGGTTTATGACTTTCTTTTGTGCCTTAACTATGATAACTTCAAAAGTACATTTCCCCAATTAGAACATATTATGTGGGGCAATTGGAACCCTTGTTCTTAGGCTCATATCTGAGTAAAAAATGAACTATTTTTTATTTCTTTTGATGAGACCTGTGCTTGGTTATCAACAGTCCCAAAAGCTTAAAGTTGAAGATTTGAAGAAGGAGGGAAATGAGCAACTAGCTGAGTCTGGAGAAATAGAAGAAAATGGAAATGAAAAGTGTTGTTTGCATTTAGTAACACTGGGGCTGCTGCTAATCCAGATCAGTGTACTTTAGACAGAAAGTGAGGGAGGGGTCCTGATGGAAGTGGGCTGATGTTTACACAGGAATGGAGAGAATAAAGGCCATTCAAAGCATTTTTCCAGAATTTACATTGCACAACAAGACATTAAGCATTGTGGGGCAGGGTGTAGACAAGAAGCCTCAGTCAGGGAAGGTGATAACAGTGTAATCACCAAGTTGACAATGACATAGAAAAACAAAAGTAGGGCCGGTGTTGGTGGCGCACACCTTCAATCCCAGCACTCGAGAGGCAGAGGCAGGCGGATCTCTCTGAGTTCGAGGCCAGCCTGGTCTACAGAGCTAGTTCTAGGACAGTCTCCAGAACAATACACAGAAACCCTGTCTCAACAAACAAACAAACAAACAAAAACAAAACAAAACAAAAAAGAAAAGAAAAACAAACGTAGCAGATAATACAAAACTCCTCTGAAAATCTATAAAACACTGGGTCTGTCTGGGACCACAGATTCCTAAAATTTCTAATCCTGTAATGATGATTCTATTAAACAAGTGATTCATACTTGACTTTTATTTCTTAGCTGCAAAGAAAGTCTTAGGGTTGAGCTAAAAGAGAAGCTAGTAGGTCCTAGAAAAAGAGAAATAGTCCAATTTCCTCTAGGAGTGACTTGACCATTGGCCATCATGGCTCAGCAAGTGCTGAGGTGACTCAAGAATGACCTGACCTTCTGTACGTAAGGAAATAAGGACAATGTATGAGCATCTGTGACAAAAGCTACTAACATTCCTTCCTAGGAGAGGTGAAGGTCACTAGGCTCTCACATGCGATTCCAGTCTCTATTCCCATCACCCCGGCCCTAGGAGCACATGATTTTTGCCCCTGTGTACTTGGCCTGGGAAGAAGGGGTACCAGCAAATCTAGAAGGTGGGAAGGTTGGCTGAGGGTTAGGGTTCTTCAGCATGTGCTAGAGGAAGGACTTTCTGTTGGTACCCTGTCAAGAATCACCCATGCTCCTGTAAGTAACCCCTCACCCATGTATACTCATAGAAATAATCTGAATGGATGTTTGGCTTATCAGACTTGACTTGGATGGAATAATTTTTCTTGGTCTGTTGGTATCTTGTCTGTCTGGGGTAATTGCTATGTCTTCATGTCTACCCAGGAAAAGAAATGAATCAACCATATAAACATCAAAATATATTCATAAAAATGTATTTGTGAACCAGGTATGATGGTATATGCCTGAAGTCTCAGTTACCTGAAAAGATGATCCAGAGGCATTGCTTGAGTCCAGGAGTACAAGTCCAGTTTGGGTGATAAAGTGAGATTACATTTAAGTGTGTATGTGTATGTGTGTGTGTGTGTGTGTGTGTGTGTGTGTGTGTGTGTTTATACAGTGGAATAAGGAGAAGAAAGTAATTAATAAACTTCTATTTAATAGGACTCATTAATAAGTGAAAGGAGAAGTGAGTATATTACATACAGAATTACCCAGTGACTTACTTTCTTTATATTTTTTGTTTGTTGCAAGACCAGGTAAATCTGACTCTTCAAAGGCACTTTTCAGTTCAGGTTTATATTCAAAAGATACATGCCTGGAAGAAATGAAAGTTATTATGAATGAAAATAACCAGAAAGTTTACAAAACAGATTTAAGATACAAATTTTGAGAAAGATAAACACGTCCATTTTACAGATTGAGGGCAGAAGACTGAGACTGACTGGATAAGGAACCTGAAGTGGAGAGGACAGGACAAACCTGCTCCTAGGACAGGAACCAGGGCACATGAGGTGCCAATACTCACAAGCTGACAAGAACACACATCAGAACTTGGTTCCAACACATTTGGGTGACAGATTTGAATGGAAAATGGTGAAATATGGACTCAGGGACAGTTCACACATCAGATAGGATGACAACACTCATGTGATGCCATAATACATAATTTCCTAGCTTCCCAAGGATCCTAGCCATCAGAGGGCCTATCTGGGCTCCCTAGTCTCCATAATCCCATGAGTCAATTCTCCTAATAAAATCCCTCTTAAATCTCTGCTCAGAGATCCCCCTGCCTCTGCCTCCTGAGTGCTGGGATTAAAGGCATGTGCCATCATGCTGGGCTAGTTTTAGTTTCTTAGGTTATCAGATAGTCAAAGACAAATACAACACTTTCAAACTTTCAGATGAGTTATGATAGTTACATTTTTGACTTATTAAGGTCACATGATTTATCTTCTATGATCCCTGTTACTCTCTTAAATGCAGATGGAGCAATTGTGCCTCCAAATTCCACATGAAGATCAGATAGCAGGGGCGTAGTCAAAGCCTTTTTTGTTTGTTCAAAATGACTGTCGGTTTTCTGCAGTGAAGCCAAAATGAGAAAATAAGCGCTCTTTCGAAGGCAAAAGTCCATATATTAAGGACAAAAATTAATCTCTTCATATACACATATACACACAGAAAGAGAAAGACAGACAGAAAAAGATAGAGAGAATTCATGTGTAAGAGAATAATGGAAAATATTTAAGATTTAAAATTAGAGAGTGGAAACATTATCCATTTAAACTTGAAAAGATTCTTTTACCTTTACTGTGTGACTTATATGACTCTTTCCCCATCTACTTAATAAAGGTAACACACTGATAACCATTCGGGAGCCCTTCTAACCCTAAATATTATTTAGAATTTAAGGAGAGACCTTTATAAATTGCTGTAGACTCATTTCCTCTGAACTGAAACTTCCTGCCTGGAGGGAGGAAGGATGGTCATAAGACAGGAAGTTCATGAAACTTATAAGAATTAGGAAGTTGAGAAATTTCAAGATTTTCAATGACCCTCTAAAGTTATAGAAGTTGCACCAGCTGCTGGGGAAGAGGAGCCTCTTCCATGGAGCCACATACAAGTTGGGAAGGGAACTCAACGATGTGGCATTTATGAATTATCATTGATGCTGGGGTAGGCTGTTTGGTGATATAGCTGCCTCTGAGTTATGCATGCTCTCACAGTAACCCCAATAAACGGATTGTTTCACCAGTTTTTGATCTGTTGTCCATGCTCCATCTGTGGTGAGTGGATGTTTGCTTGTCTCTCTCCAGAAAAAGTCTTATAATTCACATGTGTATAGGGACCAACAATCAAGTATTACTTGGAGAAATGCAGCGACATGCCCCCTGTGATGGGCAATAATACATGCTACTGACATTGATCCATCCTTTGTATGCAATCTTAACATGGCTTTCTTTCCTTGTGTGGTGTGAGATACTGTGTTTCCTTTCTGTAGTGTCAGTTGCATGCTTCTTGTTATGAGTGTTAAGACATGCAACTAGGATTGAGCCATCAGAGACTTTAGCATCCTTGCAAGATATCATACATAGGCTGATCATCTTCCTGTATGTGGAATGTGATGACATTACTCTTGGATGAGTGAAATCTATGACATGAGTGAGGACATGCTTTCCAACCGGCTAATGAACCAGATAATTTATCACAATCCCTGTAAATGGCATGGATATGATGGTAAGCAGGCTATGGCATCACTTGTGTGGCCTTTGCATATAACCAAGGTTCTGCTCACCCAGAGTGAATTTACCCATGTAAGGAAGGAATTCCCATGGGAAAAAGGCATGTATGTGGATGCAAGCCTCAACACCAGCCTCTGATTTGGTAGAAAGGATGGAAAATAAAAGGATGATATGTAGGTGTTAACCTGGTATGTCTCACAGTGTGGAGGACTCTGTGAGAGGAAGGTAGAAGCTAGATTTGTCAGATAGCCCTTCCTGGAAACCAAAGTTGGGACCTAGAAGAAGGTTAGAGAGTGAGAAGAGAGTGACATAGAAGTGACAGAAAAAAGCCCTCAGGTCTGAGTGTTAACTCAAAGAAAACCCATGGCTCAGTATGCAAATAGGACCCTAACAGGCACAGTGTAGAAAACTGTGACAAGCAGGAGATATTCATTATCTTCTAGATAGGGAGAAGTGTTTCTCACTACTTGAACATTGACATCAAAGAACAAAGGGTAGATGAGTCTGCATGCAGAAAAAGCAGAGGAACTGAGTAATAGAACTACTCATTCCTCCATTCCTCCTTAAACCAAGGCTGAAGGATCTGAGGAAATCAGAGGGAAACAGGTTGCTGATGATTGGTACTTACAAGTCCAGTTATTGTCAGCTCAGTTTCCCATGTATCAGGGACTGGAAGGCAGCAGAGGATGGGACTGAGGGAAATGTAGCTTTTAGAGCCAGTGTTTGATGCCCATTCCACAAAGTTGTGTAGGAATGGGCACCAAACACTGAACTGGGTCTTCAGTGGCCTTGCTGAGCTCCACAGTGGGATGCAATATTTATGAGGAAGGAGCGCTCTCCAGATCTGAATGGCTTACACTGGCAGATAAGTTGGAATCAGAAGATTTTTTAAACGCCCAGAAGATGAAAAAAGATAATTGGACTTCTCCAGGTTACTTGAAAGCAAAAGTGGCAAGATCCGTGTCAAGCAGAGTTCCTTCTGGGAGATAGGATTGCTAGAAAGCCAAATACTGTGCTTATGAGTCTTTGGAAGGCTTTAAAGGCTGGATGGCAATTCATCAGTGTGAAAGGAGCAAAAAACAGGGAGGTAAGAACAAGGTATTTCTGCTTCAACTCCTTGGTGGGGCGGAAAGAAATCTCTGATGATGTTCCCAAGGTAAAGGCAAATGGTGATTGCAGGCTCCATATTGATCTATAGATTTGTTAGTTCCTGACTAATGTGCAAAACATGTGTATTTCAGTGAATGCTGGAGATAAGTATACTTTAATTAATGACAGCTCCCCAAAGTTCCAGAGGCAATGGCCAGCAATAGATGGATATGGAGAGAGGTAAGTAGGAACAGAAATAATGACCTTTGTCCTGGGGGTAGGGGATTATTTTCCCTGGAGAATATGTTGTTTGTATTTTTTCCCTGCAAGCAAGTACACTGGAGTGGAGATGGTGTCCTCAATCCATAGCTCCTTAACTAGTTAGGTACTGCTGATGGAGATATGAGGCCTTAGTTCCTTCTTGGAGCTTTTCATCCTCACCCAGGGAGCCAGCTCAAGAGATGGGAATGCCAGGTCCATGCATATATGCTTTTGGCCATGTTCCATGGAAATCAGTGTGATCAGGCTTCACTGGGACCATTGGGGGCGGGGAGATGTACAGTGGACCTACAGCAGTGGCAGTACCCCAGTATGAAGAGGCCAGATGCCTCATAGAAGATGACAGTGGATCAGGGAAAGTTAGATGAGGTATTTCCTCATCTACAGCATTTCCATCCGCACTGCTGTATTCAGTGTTGCCACTTTGATGAAAAAATTGGTTTAAGTGATGGGATCTTGTCATATTGAACTTTGCCAACTTAAAGAAAATCCCCTTTGTTTTTAAATCCCAAGATTAACTAACAATTGGTTGGAATGAGTGTAAAAAGGTTTCTAACTATACAATGCATTTACATATTATATATAACATATATTATACATTGAGTGTTTTACAGATTTGTAAAAACATCGTGGAATCCAGCCACACTGAAACTCTTAGAAGAGAAAGTGGGTGGTACCCTTGAACGAATTAGTACAGGACACCACTTCCTGAACATAACACCAGTAGCACAAACACTGAGATTGACAATAAATGGGACCTCCTGAAACTGAGAAGCTTCTGCAAGGCAAAGGACACAGTCAACAAGACAAAATGACAGCCCACAAAATGGAAAAATATATTCACAAACCCCATATCTGACAGAGGGCTGATATCCAAAATTTGCAAAGAACTCAAGAAGCAAGTCTCCAGAATACCAAAGGATCCAATTAAAAATTGGGGTACAGCTTCATGATAAAGGTCTTGGAGAGATCTGGGATAACAGGGACATACTTAAACATAATAAAAGCTATATACAGTAAACCAACAGCCAACATCAAACTAAATGGACAGAAACTCAACGCAATTCCTCTAAAATCAGGAACAAAACAAGGCTGTTCACTCTCACCATACCTTTTCAACATGGTACTTGAAGTTCTAAACATTGCCATACTACAACAAAGGGGGATCAAGGGGATACAAATTGGGAAGGAAGAGGTCAAACTTTCACTGTTTGCAGATGATATGATAGTTTACATCAATGACCCAAAGAACTCTACCAGGGAACTCTTACAGCTGATTAACACCTTCAGCAAAGTGGCAGGCTACAAGATCAACTCAAGAAAATCAGTAGCCCTACTATATACAGATGATAAAAGGGCTAAAAAAGAAATCAGAGAAACATCACCCTTTACAGTTGCCACAAACAACATAAAATACCTTGGGGTAACGCTAACCAAACAAGTGAAAGACCTGTATCACAAGAACTTTGAATCTTTAAAGAAAGAAATTAAAGAAGCCTCAGAAAATGGAAAGACCTCCCATGCTCTTGGATAGGTAGGATCAATGTAGTAAAAATGGCAATCCTGCCAAAAGCAATCTACAGATTCAATGCAATCCCCATTAAAATCCCAGCACAATTCTTCACAGACCTTGAAAGAACAATAATCAATTTTGTATGGAAAAACAAAAGACCCAGGATAGCCAAAACAACCTTGTTCAATAAGGCAACGTCCGGAGGCATCACCATCTTTGACCTCAAGCTGTATTATAGAGCTATAGTCCTGAAAACAGCTTGGTATTGGCACAAAAATAGACAGGTATACCAATGGAATCGAATTGAAAACCCAGATATTAACCCACACACTTATGAACATCTGATCTTTGACAAAGAAGCTAAAAATATACAATGGAATAAAGAAAGCATCTTCAACAAATGGTGCTGGCATAACTGGAGGCTGGCATGTAGAAGAATGCAGATTGATCCATGTTTATGGTCATGCACAAAGCTTAAGTCCAAATGGATCAAAGACTTCAACATAAATCTAGCCACACTGAACCTCTTAGAAGAGAAAGTGGGTGGTACCCTTGAACGAATTGGTACAGGAGACAGCTTCCTGAACATAACACCAGTAGCACAGACAGTGAGATCAACAATTAATAAATGGGACCTCCTGAAACTGAGAAGCTTCTGTAAGGCAAAGGACACAGTCAGCAAGACAAAAAGGCAGCCCACAGAATGGGAAAAAATATTCACTAACCCCACATCTGACAGAGGGTTGATCTCCAAAATTTACAAAGAACTCAAGAAGCAAGTCTCCAAAACATCAAAGGACCCAATTAAAAAGTGGACTGCAGAAAAAAAAAGTGGGCTGCAGAACTAAATAGAGATTTTCAATAGAGGAGTCTAAAATGGCTGAGAGGCACTTGAGAAAGTGCTCAACATCCTTAGCCATCCGGGAAATGCAAATCAAAACAACTCTGAGATACCATCTCACTCATGTCAGAATGGCTAAAATCAAAAACACCAATGACAGTTTATGCTAGAGAGGATGTGGTGAAAGGGGGACACTCCTCCATTGCTGGTGGGAGTGCCAACTGGTTCAGCCACTTTGGAAATCAGTATGGAGATTCCTCAGAAAAATGGGAATAAACCTACCACAAGACCCAGCAACTCCACTCTTAGGCATATATCCAAGAGATGCCCATTCATACAACAAAGATGTCTGTTCCACTATGTTCATAGCAGCATTATTTGTAATAGCCAGAACTTGGAGGCAACCTAGATGTCCCTCAACCGAAGAGTGGATAGAGAAAATGTGGTACATTTACACAATGGAGTACTATTCAGCAGAAAAAAACAATGGAATCCTGAGATTCACAGGCAAATGGATGACACTAGAAGAAACCATCCTGAGTGAGGTAACCCAGTCACAAAAAGAGAAACATGGCATGTACTCTCTTATATATGGATTTTAGACATAGATCTGGGGAGTGCCAGCCTACAATCCCATGGCTAGAGAGTCTGGGAAACATCGAAGAAGAGGCAGACTCCCTCGGTTAAGTACTGAGCTGAACTCAAGAAAGCCAGGAACAGAGAGGGAGGACTGATGACCAAAGGGATTAAGACTGGGCTGGTTTAACCCCCAGAAACAGCTGACCTGACAAAGGTTAACTCTTGAATCCCAGGCATCAGCCTGGGAATCCAGCATGGGACTGATCAAGACACCCTAAATGTGAGTGTCAGTGAGGAGGCCTAGGTAATCTATTGAGCCTTGGGCAGCAGATCAGTACCCATCCCGAGTATACACACGGACTTTGGACTCCCATCCAACAATGTGAGGTGCAGTCTCACCCTGAACTCTTGGGGAAGGGTCTAGGCCCTGCCCTATATGAAATGACAGACTATGGACACCCCCATGGAGGGCCTCACCCTCCCTGGGGAAATGAGGGGATAATGGTGGGGGGCTGGGGGGAGGGCACGGGAGGAGGGGAGGGAAAGGGAGAGGGACCTGGAACTGACTTGTGAAGCAACCTTGTTTCTTATCTAAATGTAAACTGAAAAATAAATTTAAAAAAATTTAAAATAGAAAAAAATAAATAAATGTAAAAAAAATTTTAAAAAGTGGGGTACAGAACTAAATAGAGAATTCTCAATAGAGGAGTCTAAAATGACTGAGAGACACTTGAGAAAGTGCTCAACATCCCTAGCAATCAGGGAAATGCAAATCAAAACAACTCTGTGATACCATCTGACTCCTGTTGGAATGGCTGAAATCAAAAACACTAGTGACAGTTTATTCTGGAGAGGATGTGGAGAAAGGGGAACACTTCTCCACTGCTGGTGGGAATGTAAACTTGTGCAGCCACTTTGGAGATCAGCATGGATATTCCTCAGGAAAATGGGAATCAGTCTACCACAAGATTCGGCAATTCCACTCTTAGGTATATACCTAAAAGATGTACATTCAAACAATAAGGACATCTGTTCAACTGTGTTCATAGCAGCATTATTTGTAATAGCCAGAACCTGGAAGCAACCTAGATGCCCTTCAAGAGTGGGTAGAGAAAATGTGATACATTTACACAATGGAGTACTACTCAGCAGAAAAAAAAACAATGGAATCTTGAAATCTGAAGGCGAATGGATGGCACTAGAAGAAACCAGCCTGAGTAAGATAACCCAGTCACAAAAAGACAAGCATGGTATGTACTCACTTATACATGGATTTTAGACATGGAGCAGGGCATCGTCATCCTACAATCCCACCACCAGAGAGTATGGGAAGCAGGGAGGACCCTAAGAGAGATATGCATGGAAACTCGGAGAAGGGTTATGGGACGAGATATCCTAATTGGATTGGGGGGGTGACAAAGGAGATGGGAGAGAGAGGGAAAAGAGGAGGGGAGAGGAGGACATGGGAGATCAGGAAGGTTGAGCCAGGGTAAGAATAGAAGAGAGAAGGATGAGAGATACCATAATAGAGGGAACCATTATAAGTTGAAGGAGATTGATCTGGCACTAGTGAGATCTTCACAGATCTAAATGCCATCCTAGAATCCTCATCCAGCGGCAGATGGAAGCAGAGGCAGACACCCACAGCTAAAAACGGAATTGAACTCCTGGAACCCAGTTGCAAAGAGGAGTGATGAGCAAAGGAATCAAGATCAGGCTGGTGAAACCCATAGAGGCAGCTGACCTAAACAAGAGGTAATGCATGGACCCAGACTGATGACTGAGAGGCCAGCATGGGACTGATTCAGACACTCTCCGCCCTCCCACCCCCGCCTTGTGCCCTGAACCTGGGTGTCAGAGAAGAGGCCTTGGCAATCTGTGGGTCCTTGGAGATTAGAGCAGTATTTATTTCTGGCATACAAACAGACTCTGGGAGCCCATTCCACATGAAGGTATGCTTTCTCAGTCTGGACACATGGGGGAGGACCTACACCCTGCCCAGGATGATATGACAAACTCTGAAAATCCCTCATAGAAGCCCTTACCCTCCCTGGGGAGTGGAGGGGGGATGGAGTGGGGTGGGGTGCTGGGAGGACTGGGGGTTAGGGGGAGGAAGGGAGGGAGAGGGAACTCAGAGTAACATGTGTAAAAAGTTAAATAAAAAAGAAAAGAAAAAAAACATTGTGGAAGAACAGTAGAAGTGTCAGTTGAAGATTTTGAAAGAAGTGTGAGTTGAAAAGGCACTTCCTAGAGCAACAGGGCTATTAGTGGGGATGACCCCATTGTAAATGGTGGGTTGCCTCCCTATGAGTGATTGCCCATGGAGGTTCCCAAGACTCCTAAAACAAAAGGCTATTGTCTGTATTAGAACTGAGCTAGGTAAGACCATATCAGTGGAGATGTCACACACATTGGCTGCAGGATATGGAGAAATCAAACAGACTAACTAGGCTGCAGGTTTCCTCCCTACTGGATGGCTGTTGGAGATGTAGGCAGCTGTGAACCTATAGTATACATGTTTCTTTGGAACAGAAATCAATTTGCTCATATATATGCTAAAACTCTAGTATTTGTGAAGTATTATCTTTGTCAACTGTTTTGCCTTGAATTCTGAGTCCTGCCTATTTTAGTTTACTTTGTTTCTATATAGTCCAATTATTCTTTTTTTCTTTTTTCTGAGACAGGGTTTCTCTGTGGCTTTGGAGGCTGTCCTGGCACTTGCTCTGTAGACCAGGCTGGCCTCAAACTCACAGAAATCCACCTGCCTCTGCCTCCCCAGTGCTGGGATTAAAGGTGTGTGCTACCATCACCCAGCCTTGTCCAATTATTCTTAATTCAATAACAATGCCAAATGTTACTTTTCCTTTAGAAAGTTTTATCTATTTTTTGAGAATTTTCTACACTACATTTCGATCATATTCTTTTCTCCTATCTAGCTCCTCTCAGATCTGACCCCCACCCCATGTGATTTCTTTCTTAAAATAAACAAAGAAAAAACCCTAAACCAAGACAAAACACACAAACAAATAAATATACAGTTCAATTTGTGTTGATCAACTACTCCTGAGCATGAGGCTTGCCCTGGAGTGTGACTATTCTATTTGGTGTCATTCTAGTGAAGAAAACGTATTTTTCCCTCTTCCAGCAGCTGTCAATCCCAAATAGCTTGCAGTTAGATGTGGGACTTGGTGCTTTTCATGTATCTACAAATAACTTTGTATATACTTAGCATATTGGTAACAACTGTGGGTAGCCAGATTTACTGTTTGGGAGGCAGTACTTTTTAAAGCAGTTTGGATACATATATGACCTAGCACATAACAGCTACTTAGAAGTGATAATGTATGGTTCATTTTTTATCTTTGCTGTTCTTTTTTGTGGTACTGGGGCCTCCAATATACTAGGCCAGCTCTCTACCACTGAGTTATGTCCTTGATTACTTAATAAGTCTTCTTATTATCTACTTAGATAAATGACTTTCAGTTGATCTTATAAAGTTGAAAGTCATTTAAATGAAGATATAAACGAATTTGTCACATAAATACATCATTCATTATAAAGTACAAATCTTATCTGAAATGTTAACTCTTTAACGAGGACAGTGTTCTTAGCTTCCACTTCATACACCTTTGCTCTGATGGCTGCAAGTATCCTTGCACTCTCATCCAAGGCATCTAACTTCTTCAGGATTTTTTCCATCATCCTGTGTCAAGCAATTCCTGTTTGAAAGGGAGGAATAAGAAACATACAATTCAATTTAGACAGAAACACGTGATGGTTATTTAGCCATAAAGAGAGAGTCCATTTCTATTATTGTTCTGGGTATATTTCAGAGCTTTGTTGATCACAGAAGCAGTCACAGAATTATAATTTCAATAGGAAAAAAAAACCAGAACTTCAAGCTTGTCACATGAGAGCCAGATGTGCTCCTATTGAAAGTGAGGCTGAGTGATTGAACATCTGTTCTCTTTTGTCATGATATATTTTCATTTTTAATAGTTTATTTATTCTGTTCTTTGTGCATTCATGCTTTGCCTGTATATATATATCTGTGTGAGGGTATCAGATTCCCTGAAACTGTAGTTACAGACAGTTGTGAACTGCCATATGGGTGCTGGGAATTGAACCCAGGTCCTCTGGAAGAGCAGTCAGTGTCTTTAACCTCTGAGCCATCTCTCCAGTCCTCATGATATAACTTAAATGAAAAGCATGCAAAGGCCTCAGCTTCATACAATTAACTAAACTTAAATTGACTCATTGGTGCACAACACTTAGCAGACACCTAGAAGCAGCTAATCTGAAAATCCTCATTGGGGTTCAAATAATGCACATGAGCTGGATGGACATCAAAATCTGGTCCAATTAATTTCTATTTTTGGATGAGTAAACTGAAGGTCACACAGGACTTTATTAGTTTAGTACTAATGCTTACTGGTAGAATTAAGGCAAGAACACAGGGGTACTGGCGGCCAGAGAAATGACCCAGTGGGTGAAGAACTTGCCAGCAAGCATGAGGACCTGAGTTCAGATCCCCAGATCCCAGGTGAATGCTGGGTAAATATGGCTAACCACCTGTCATTATAAATCATGAAGGTGAAATAGGTTATTCCCAGAGCAAACTGGCCAATGAGAGTAGCCTTGTTGGTGAGGTCTGGTCTTGACTGGAAGATAATTTTCTCAGGAAATAGGCTGATGGCTCCTGGCATCCATCTCCAGCCTCCACACATATGTCCACACGGGTGTGCTGCCCCAACATGCATCCACACACAGGTGAACATGCTAACACACACACACACACACACACACACACATTTTAACAAGTAAATTGGAAAAAATGGATGCAGAATTAGTAATCCAGTACTCTCTTTTATGTTTTTTTTAAAAATTGGACCAATGATTGCATGTTTTTGAACAGTGAATTGAATGGGATCTGGTGGCACATAATTATAAAAATTACCATGGCTCACTGGAAGTACTGAGCTCACCTGTGTTTTTAAAGAACACCGGTCAGTGTCAAGACTGAATTTCCCTCTAGTCCAAAAGGTTCTTCCCTATCTCTCCTGTATTATACTGGACATTTTCCAGTCAGTATTACAAGGGACAGCCATGCCGGAAAGGCAAAGATTTGAATTCACATTGCTTGGTACTTCATGTACTTTCTTCTACCCGTTTCCCTCGCCAAATATTGTACCAAGTATGAATACCCACCCGAGTGTGTGTGTGTCTGTGTATTTCTGTATGTGTCTGTGTGTACATCTGTGTGTGTGTGTGTGTCTGTGTGTGTATCTGTCTTTGTGTGTGTGTAAAATCTCTATACAAACCAAGTAGGATAAATGCAGATCTTTTGATATTCCATTTCACATCTGTGTGGGTGGACTCTGATACTTACCTGGCTGCACAGTGGACAGGAGCTGAGACACTTTGAGTGCAGCCAGGAGGGTGGGAAGGATGTCTGTCATCTTGTTGGGATAAGATCTAAAAATGTTGAAGATGTGGCTGAGCTGGTGGCCTAAGTTTGCATAACTGGTGTGTGTGTGTGTGTGTGTGTGTGTGTGTGTGTGTGTGTGTGAGATATGTGTGATGTATGCACAATATGTACATGAGTGCCGAAGGAGGAGGATGTTAAGTATCCTCCTGCGTCATGTCCTGCACTATTCCCTTGAGACAGAAACTCTCACGGCCCTGGTCATCCTCTATCTCTCCCCATGCCCCAGTGCTGGAGCTACAGTGTGAAAACAACCATGCTTGACTTTTTGTGTGTCTGGAGATTTGGACTCAGGTTCTCATGCTTACACAGCAAGTGTTCTTGCCATTGACTGAACCATCTCTCCAGCTCCCAAACAGAGGCTTAAATGTTGAGCCTCTGTTTCACACAAGAGGGAGTATTTTAAGTAGGCAATTAATTCTTCCCATTTCCTCTTGGACACTTCACACACCCCCATTTCTTCTCTTTACATTCTCTCTTTTTGTGGAAAATACTGCCTTGCCTTAACATACTTTCCAAGACTTTGGGAGCCCATTCCCCACAGAGAGTTTCTCTCAGTCTAGACACACAGGGGAGGATCTTGGCCCTGCCCCAAATAATGTGACAGACTTTGATGATCCCCCATGGAAGGCCTCACCCTCCTTGGGGAGCAGAAGGGGAATGGGATGGGGAGCTGGTGGGGGGCATGGAAAGATGAGAGGGAGAGGTAACTGGGATTGATCCGTAAAATAGGATTGTTTCTAATTTAAATAAAATAAAAAGAATATAGATAATTTAATAATGAAAAGCAAAGATACTTTCCGAGTATGCATTGTTGATGCTTCCTTTAGTTACCATTCTTGGTGGACTCCAGGCCACCCAATAGATATTAGATTCTTTATTATTATTAGATTCATACCTTAGAATGAATACTTTATGAAAAAGAGAGATTACCTATTTAGGTCATAGTTTTGGAGCTAAAGTCTAAGATTTGGACGTTTCATTTGTTCATCTCTGAGTGAAACCTTATGGCAAATGGTATGAGGATGATGACAGGAGGTACAAGAACCATGATGTCAGACATAAAGCCAGAGGGAAGTCAGGATTCAGTTTTATTCTTTTACGTCTGCTCCATTGTAAGACTGAGCTTGCCCCAAGAGAGCTCTACAAACTCCCTCTGTGGCAGGGTCCCAGTGACCTCGGTGCCTCTCATATCACTACACTGGGGACCAAGTTTTCAATACATGAACTTTTAGGGAGGATGCCCTTAGAGAGGAGACTATGTCCAAACCAAAGTACCGATGTGTCAAAGAACTTGTGCTTGGAAAACTCTGGGCCATGGGGACACAGACAGACAGACAGGCCTTACCCATATAAGCTCATGGCTACTAAGGCAGGAAAGGGTGGTCTCATGGGCCATGTGCCTGTCCACACAGGCTTAGGCTCCTACAAGTGGGAGAGAGAGGTCTGGATCCAGGTGTCAGCACACTGTGGATGCTGTAAGCTTTGAGAGTCTCCTGCAGGAAGGCAGGGAAAGATTTTGGAAGAGATAAATAGTTCATCTGGACACTACAGATTTTCCTTTTAGAGTCAGAACAGGTCATTTTGTATTTGAGAAGCAAGGATGGAATTTGGGTTCCTGCTTTCATCACTGAAGTGCATAGGTCAAAACGTCTTCTAGTGGAGACAGACTATTCTCAGTGAGAAATAGGAAGGTGAATTAGCACGTTGAAGAGAATGGTTTTCCCAGCATGAGAAAGGTACAGATCACACAAGAACACAAGATATGCTGCTTACTTAAGCTAAGGAGTAAAGCAGGCTTCTCTATCTATCTACCTATCTATCTATCTATCTATCTATCTATCTATCTATCTATCTTCTATTTGTTTTTTGTTTTTTCCATTTATGTTTTTTTATTATTTTAATTTTAAATAGCTTGCTTCATGTCAATCCCAGTTACCTCTCCCTCCCCTCCTCCTGCACCCTCCCACCATCCCCCCCCCCCCCAGCCTCCCACCCTATCCCCACTTCCTTCCACATAGGGGATATCTAGAGTCTGTCATTTCACTCAGGGCAGGGTCCAGGCATTCCCCTGTGTTTTTTGGTTTTTTGAGACAGGGTTTCTCTGTGGCTTTGGAAGCTGTTCTGGAACTAGCTTTTGTAGACCAGGCTGGTCTCAAACTCACAGAGATCCACTTGTCTCTGCCTCCCGAGTGCTGGAATTAAAGGTCTCTTTAGAGCAGCAGTTCTCAACCTGTGGTTCATGACCCCTTTGGGGAGTCACATGTCAGAAATTACATTATGATTCAAATGATTACAAAATTACAGGTATGAAACAGCAATGAGATAATTTTATGGTTGTGGTCACCACATCATGAGGAACTGTATTAAAGGATTGTGGCATTAGGAAGGTTGACAAGCACTGCTTTAGCATGAGGTGTCCTGTGTCTCCTACTTTTAGTTCCCTCTGCCTTCAATGTCACAATCAGCATGGTAAGGTGTAACATGCCTCCTCATTTTATAAATGTGCTGCTGTAGCAGGGAAAGATGATCATGACGACACCTATTATTTTCTGTCTCCTATTTCCTTAACTGCAAAGTTTCTTTAAACTCCAGTCTACTTCAGGGCTCTAATTTTCTACATCTCCTTTGTACCCCATCTACCATCATCTGGCTTCTAATTAAATCAGTGCCTAGGTTTTCAGGGTCGCTGTCTTATGAACTGATGAATACTTTGTTCTTGCTTTTACACTATTTGAACTTGTATAAATTTGTAAATACTGATTATGCTTTGCTATAGAAATTCTTGTCCCTCTCAGTTTCCATATCATCAGTCTTCTTCGCTCTCTGTAAGATTCCTTACCAATGTCTTCAGGCCTCTCCTCAAACACTTATATCCCCAGGGCTACATCATATTTCCCATTGCTGCACATTTCTCCAAAGACAACCTCTTATGAATCCATGGCTTAATCTACTGTCATATTTGTCCAAACAAATTCTCCTGAGTTGTAAGTCTGTGTATACAGCCCGACTTACTATATTTCCCACCAGTAGTGCAAACTTCCTCCATCATTCCTTTTCTGCAACCACAACTCTATTCCAACCCATGTGACCACACTAGCATCTCTCAGGCTTCTGGCTCACACACTGGGACATCATAGTAATTCTCCTTCTTAGCCATGCTACAGAATGAGCTGAAAATGTGGATACAGATTTCTTAGTGTCCCCTCAGGCCTCCAAAGTAAAAATTCAGAGGGTGAAGATTAGGAACCCTCTCACTCTCCTCCTGGGAACTAAAGTAGGCAAGCACGTGGCTGCTGGGGCTCCAGTCTAGGAATCTACTGGGGTGTGTGGGATGTGCTGCATAGATTATTGACTCATGAACTCTAGTTATCTATTTTTAAGTGTTATTCTGATGCAGGTCTTCCCAAATCTGGATTTGGTTCCCACTTTAATGCAGAAGCCCCTTACCTCTTGTGTAAATACTCACAATCACTTTATCTGGCATAGGACCCATCCAAGTATCTTCTTAGCTCTTCCTGTTTTACCTCATATAACCTCAGTTTAGGAGTCTATAAGTTGTTGCTTGGATTACTGCAATAGTTTAAATTTTCCTTTATATATTTGATGAATTAATTCTATTTTTCATATATTTGTATTGTTTTTTTTCAAGAAACTATGGTTTGTCTTCCTACTTAAAGCTTCAGTCTCTTCAAAACACAATAAACAACACCAGAACTCCTTGCTCTATTATACAAGGCTCATAGTGTGGCCTCTGAATTCAGTATCATGTGATTACAAATACTCGATTGCCCAGCCACGAGGAACATCTGTGGTTTCCCATGTGCATTCATCTTTCTTTACTTGTTACTTCTTAATATTCTCTGTTTATAGGGACAGTCTTCCACTCCCTCCATTCCTAATTTCTCTTCATCAAGCAACACCTCTATAGGAAGTAGTCCCTGTGCACCATAGTTTGGATAGCAACTGTCTTCATGCAAAATAAAGCCTTGTAGCTATCCCCTCTGAACTATGCACTTCTTGAAGGCAGGAATCACATCTAATTCATCTCTGAGTCTCTAATACCCTCATAATGTAAGTGGTTAGCTGCCAGGGAGAAAACGGATAGCCGTGAATGCTGTGATTGCCTTTGGCCTCCAGCAAGGCTCTTGCCTTTGACAACACCCTCTTGAGGTTCGTCTGGATCAATCCATCAAGTTGAAAAAAAGAAAAACCCGATAGAAAATTAAACTGAAGGGAGAGTGAAAACAACAGGGCCCATATTCTGTGCACTTTTAACAAACACTAAACACATGAGCAGCAGTAAACAGACTCAGTAGGCGCACTCTCTCTCTCTCTCTCTCTCTCTCTCTCTCTCTCTCTCTCTCTCTCTCTCCCTCTCCCTCCCTTTCCTTCCCTCTCCCCCCCTCCCTCCCTCCTTCCCTCCCTCCCTGTCTCTCTCTCCTTCCCTCCCTCCCTCTCTCTCTCTCTCTCTCTCACACACACACACACACATGCACACACACACAACAGTACTAATAAAATAGTTAATTATGTTAAGGGAGAGTTGCATCAGGGAGAGTTGAGGGGCAGGGGAGGAGTTGGAGGGGAAAGGAGGTAGAAATTATGTAAATGCAGTAGTCATGCATAAAATTTCCCAAGAAGAAAAAGCATCTGAAACAAGCAAAACCTAACAAACTGACCAAGCAACTGAACAGACCCTTCTTTCTCTCCACCTCAAATGTACCACGGCGTCAATGACCTGCCTAAGAACATGGACTCTGGAGTCAGATTGACTGAGCTTAAATGCTTAGTGCCATCACATGAAAGCTGTGTGACAGTGGGCTTGTTGCTTAACCTCTCTGTGTGGCCCATTTAAAAAGCCAATACAGGGAGCTGGAGAGATGGCCCAGTGGTTAAGGGCACTGACTGCTCTTCAGGAGGACCCAGGTTCAATTCCCTGCACCCACATGACAGTTCACAACTGTCTAACTCCAGTTCCAGGGGATGAGGCACGAAATTCAGAACACAAATGCACAGAAAACTGAAAGAATAAATAAAATTTAAAATACAAAATTAAAAATCAAAGAAAGCTAGCCGAGCAAGCCATGAAACAGCGTTCCTCCCTGGTTTCTAGTTCAAGCCCACCCTTCGCGTCCTGCCCCGACTTTCCTCAGTGATGGACTGTAACCTGTAAAAAGCTGAAACACTAAAAGTATGGAAACCATGGAGCTGTTATACACTTTCATTGTGCAGATATGGGTGGGCGATAATTGTTTGATATAAAGTAAGGTTAGACTTACTAGTTAGATGGCAGGTGTGTGGGATTCCTTTTTATAATCTCTACACCAAGTGTCTTCTCTTGCTGCAGACCATCTCATCTTCTGTTATTCTTGCCACAGTGTAATCATCGAAGACCTGCATTTGTCCGTCCGTCTGCTTGTTTCCTTCGGCTATACTCACACCAACTCTCTCAGAACTCAGCAAGTGACAAGACTGTCACAGCCACTTAGTGTTTTTTCTTATTTAGCAACTCCGTGACTTCTGTAGGACGACTTCCCATGATCCTGCTTCCTTTCCGTCCCTGTCTGACTCACAGAATTATGCTGAATTTTAGATCAAAGTCTTGTTTATTGTTTTAGTTCTGGGAGCTGAAACTAAAGGTCTGTGTTACAAGACCCACAGGCCTTGAATGCTCTGTAACTTCTGAGGAAGAAAACCGTGTTCAGCATCCCCGTGTCTCCACTCTGGAGTCTCAGCAGCCGACGGTAGTATTGTGGTCAGTAGTTTTCATCACCACATTTCTTTCTGCTGATATAAGCGGGGGCGGGAGAGATGTGCTTGCTTCTAAAATCTTCACAGGTCTGACTAACATTCTCACAGGCCCTTACACTTTGGGGTCAGTGGCTTCCTCTGGAACATAGGGTTCTTACATGTCACAATGCCAACCTTCCAGACCTTTGTGACTAGAACCCTTCTCAAAGCTGTCACACTGCTCCACGAGCAGCAGAGCTGGTTTTACACACAGGAAAGGCCCTTCTCATCCTTGCTTTGACTCCACTGCGCTCCTCTAACCTTTTGGGTTTCTGTTTTCCCTCCCCAGGTGATTGCAGGATATGTAACCCACTGAATTGCCTACCTCTAACAGTGTTCCTCATCCTTGGAATGCTGATCATTCAACATGCCATCTGATAAGTCTGTCTTTAATAGAACAATGATAAGGTCCAGATTTAGCCCACAAACCATGGCTTGCTCCACCTTATCTGAGGAATGGGTCTCCAGGTTTTTAGATGATACCCAAGAAAAAGCAATGCAAGATGTGGCTCTGACTTTCTGGCTTATCCCCCACAAGGCTTCCTCATGTTTTCTCAGACAGGTCCCACCCATTCCCGGCCATGTCCTTGCCCTTAGCTCTTCCCTCTACCTGTGTCTGATCATAAGCCTGCCTGTCTAATCTCAGCCTCATTTGTGACCCTTCCCTTGACCTCCCCTCTGTCTTGGTGACATCTCTTTCTTTTGTGTGCTCTTACCATACTTCACACTGCTTCCCCCTGAAGAGAGTCATTCTCAGCTGGGTGGTGGCAGCGCACAACTTTAATCTCAGCACACGGAAGGCAGAAGCAGGTGGATCTCTGTGAGTTGGAGGTCAGCTTGGTCTCTGTTACACAGAGAAACGCTGTCTTGAAAAACAAAAACGAACAAAAAAGATCCACTCTCTGACTCATCTCTTCATCAGTATTGAAGCTCATTTGCAGGAAGACTTGAGTCACTCCCCTCTGAATCTCAGCATTAGTATTTTATATTCATAGGCAACCTACACAGTACAATTTAATCTGGAGGCATCTCCAAGTAGAATGTCTTATGGGTGGGCACCCCAATGACTGTGTCACTTCAGGATGTGTAGGCACCCCAGTGCACCTACAACGGCAGTGTTACTTCAGGTTGATTCTCTTTCTGGAGGATGAAATATCAGGTGGGGTACATTGTCATGAAATATGACTCTTGCCATATTAAACTCAGTACAATAGTTTTTAAAGGAAACTTGGACTTATGATTTTGAGTTTATCAGAACTTTTTCTTTGTTGTGTGTGTGTGTGAGAGAGAGAGGTGGGGGGGTGTACCTCACATTATAGCCCAGGCTGGATTTGAACTCATGGCAGCCCTCCTGCTTCAGCCTCTGACATGCTGGAACTTATAAGTCATAGCCAGGTGGTGGTGGTGCATACCTTTAATTTCAGCAGAGGGAGGCAGAGGAAGGTGGACCTCTGAGTTTGAGACCAGCCTGGTTTACAGAACAAGTTCCAGGACAAGCAGGGTGGTTATACTGAGAAGCTCTGTTCTAGAAAAAAAAAGTGAATAAACAAACAAACGATAAATAAAATAAAAAACTTAAGTCATCACATGGTTTTAACTGCTTGACATGTGTATAAGGATTAACAAACAAAATAAAATGATCATTTTGATGTGTGTAAGGGTTAACAAACAATAAAAAAACTTACATTAAGAGCACAATAAATTCTAAGTGAGGGATTATTTACAGGAGTGTGGGTAACCTCCCAGTGGCTATGCTACTGAAGAAAATGTCTCTCTGCCTATCTGGCAGCCCTGGCTTCCTATAGCTTCACAGAGAGTTTCACTGGTGAGACTCCTCCTGCACCTTTCTGGAATCATATGCCACCATCTTTTCTTGGTGTATCGATTAGCAGGACTGAGAGGAAAGCATCGAGCCAGTGGTTGAGCTGTTTCTGACCTCACAGCTCTGACCCACTCTTCATTTTAAGTCTTTACCACATTTTTTTCTGTCACCAGCTTGATTCAAGATTTCATGTTTAAAGGAAAACTATCAAAAGATTTTAAAAACATGATCAACATGCACAGATGGGCAGGCAAGCATAGAGAATAATTTAGCAGCCTAGGCCTAGACTTGGTTTAAATTATGCACACACCTCCTAGGTCTTGACAGATTATAACTTTTCCCTGCATGTGGAAACTTAGTGTCTTAGTCGGTGTTGCTATTGCTATAACAGAACACCATGACCAAAAAGCAAGCTGGGGAGGGAAAGGTTTATTTGGCTTACACTTCCACATCACTGTTCTTTATTGAAGGAAGTCAGGACAGGAACTCAAACAGGGCAGGATCCTAGAGGCAGGAGCTGATGCAGAGGCCCTGGAGTGGAGTTGCTTACTGGCTTGCTTGTCCTGGTTTGCTTAGCCTGTTTTTTTATAGAACCCAGGACCACCATCCCAGGGATGGCACCACTCACCATGGGCTGGGCCCTTCCCTACTGATCACTAATTGAGAAGATGTGTGTGTATGTGTGAACCTTTATTTCATTTCTCCCAGTAGGAGGGCAAGACCTGGAGACATCTTCTGACCACTATAGCCAATCAAATAATGGTTCAAAGAATTACTAGGCCAACCTGGAATTATACCATAATTACCACAAGAGTTGATAGAACTCCTTCTAGCCATTCCAGATTGCTTCTACCTCAGCAAGTAGGAAATCTAACCATCAATGCATCCTTGTTTGTGTGTCCTGCCTCTCATGCCTTACCAGTGCACATTCCCTGGAAAGGATGGAGGAAACCCACCTCAGGCACTCACCAGTAGTGTGTTCATGAGAAGCTAAAACCAGAAATGAAGTTGAGAAAGCTCTCTAAAGTTCTGTACAGAAAGAGCAAAGGGGTTTTCAAAGAACTGGGATAAGCCTATTGGCCCCATCTGCACCTCTGTCCTCATACATTCCAGAATGTGCTGTTCCATGACTTCACATCCAAATGTGGTCCTCACCCAGACCCACCTTCAGGGGCCACAGAAAAGCTATCTCCCACCACAGGACAACGCACGACTGAGCTTCTCTCATGCTGGTTACCTCCTCAAACAAACGGGTCTGTGCACCTTTGTCTTTGGGCTTGCTTGCTTTCCTTTCTCCACTTAGCTAAGGTAGCAAAGCATCTTGTATCCATAGAAACCATCTCCAGAGCTCTCCATCTTGAGACCAGCATTCTTACTCTCCAAGGCATTTCACTCCATATGCTCTTGTCACCCAAAGCCGAAGAAACTCATAAAGTACTCAGAAAACATGTGCTGGAGGAGTGGAGACAGAGAGCCTAAAGGGGGAAGATGACCTAGAGAGAAGAACTAAGGGCAGTGACTTTGCCCCAGCTATTGCCATTCCTTCTTCCTTTTGTGTTTCTCGCAGAAATGAAGAAAATTTTAACAAGACACTTAAAACTCATAGGTAGCTTGCAGGTCTGAATTGAAATTGGCAGCTTATATTTGAGAATTTAATGGAAAATTCTTTTCATTATTTATGAAGTATGTAATATGACCAGTCCACCATTATATAAACCCAAGTAGCAGCCTTGGACATATGAGTACACACACAGAGTCACACACAGAGTCACACACACTCTCTCTCTCTCTCTCTCTCTCTCTCTCTCTCTCTCTCTCTCTCTCACACACACACACACACACACACACACAGAGTCACCACACAGGCACAGACAGACAGACACCACACACACATACACACACATCATTCAGATGCAACACAGAATTACAGACTAAAGATAAGTACCTTGGAAACAGCTTATATTTTATTAGGAATGGGGAAATGTTATATAAAATTGATTAAAATTTCAGTCAAGAGTTTGCTTGGTAAATATTTTGAGAATGCAGCAAAACAGGAAAAAGAAAAGCATAAACAAGTAGGTCTAATGACAAGACCATGTCAGGGACAAGCACTCTGAAACTGCATTTCTGTAGTGCCCTACAACAGTCATCAAGTTGGCGGAGTGCCCAGTGGCAGAGTGCCTGCTCAGCAGTAGTTCAATCACCACCCTAAAAATAAAGGAAAGAAAAGAGAAAAATGGCTAGAGATTGGGAGTCATACTCATAGCCAATGCATGAACACCATGGACTAAATTTATATTTACCATACTCAATGTATATTTACCATACAAGAAACCCAATAATGAAACGTAAGTAGTTGGACTCTATTACTTGTTAAACTATGTACATAGAAGAGTAAAGGCTTGATTGGGATCAGTACCAAGAATGTTATTGGCCTTGGTGATTTGTGAGATGCTATTTCATGTAAAGGAATTTTCAGCAAAGCTGCAGGTGTCCTCAGGAGTAGGTTGAAGGGGGTATAGGTGGGTATTGACAGATGTGCTCACAGGGACCCAAATACACAAAGTGTGTATTTCTCTGTCTCTGTCTCTTTTTGTCTCTGTCTCCCTCAACTCTCTATCTCCCGCCCCCTTTCTCTGTGTGCCTAGAGTACAATCAAAGTTTAAAAAAACAGAGAGAAAAACATTGTCTTGGAGAAGATCCCACCACTTGGTGGCAGTATACCCAAGTTTAGATGGTCGAAAATTAAAAACAAAATATGGCTTGAAATGGCACCAAATATCTCCTGACCACAGTTGCAAAATTACCCCCAAAATGCTCCCTTTCTGGCTGGAAGTCGGGCTGCTGTTCCTTATGCTGCAGGTTCCAGAAGCATCCTTCTCAGGCAGAGGAGATTGGTTCTGTGCAATGCTTGCCCAGCAGGGTTTCACAGTCAACAGGAGAAACTTCCTCTAGTACAAACATTTTGTTTTACCTTTAATTCCCGCCATTTTTACTCGCATTGCAGATGTGTGAAACTGCTTCTACACAACAGTGGAAATGATTAATCAATGCGTAGGTCACTTTTTTATTTCCGGTGTCTTTCCTTTGGTTGGTGCTGAGACCTGATTGTTACCTTTTATATTAGCGTTCCCTAAAGAAATAGGACGACCTCTCTCCCTCTCCCCACTTCCTCACATCAGGACCCTGTTATTTAGCCCAGGTCAGTCTCAATTTCTCAGTCTTCTTGCCACAGGCTCCTAGGTGCTGGGATTGCAGGCCTGCTCCAAGCTCAGCAAGGCCTTTCTTT